TCTTCCCCATTAGGCCGGATCTATCAGTTTCAGTGGAGGGGGAGTAGTTTATCAGTAAATGGCAAAAAAACACAGTTTAGGAATAGCTCTAGTTACTAATGAATGCTTCAGTTCCTGTCAGCCTTTGACCCAAAGCTAACAAAGAATACACTGACCTCAAATAGACTCATTGAACAGAAACGTTTGAAACCCTCTTTTAACTTGATGACGTGTTTTGAATGTACTCGCTCAGGGATGCATGGAATTCTCTTGGAGATATGACAAGAGAAGAAGCGATGGCTGCCTACGTTGATGAAATGAAGCTGGTATGTTCTCTCTCTCTCCCCACTAATAGAATATATAGGATCTATTTGACGTAGGTATACTTGTAGTTCAATCCCTCCTTTGCTGCTGTATGTAATGCGTAGATCCTGGAGGGTATGCCCATGACGGACGAGGTGGAGGAGCTCCTCCGTGTTCTCGGCCCGTTCTATGAGCTGATTGAGGAGAAGAAAAAGATCTCGCAGATATCAGATCTGAGCACAGGTGGGTGTCATTCCCCGGGTGGAACTCCTTTCACTTTCCTTTGTGATGTCAAAAACCGCACGCAGAGCTTAACCTTTTTTATGATTTGCCTCTTGTCCGATGCTCAGCCCGTTTGACAATGTTTGCTAGGCAACTGGAAGGCAAGTATATTATTCTGTTGATGTAGTTTTAGTATTTGTCTGGTGCTGTAGTAGATTTGGTGCTTTTTAGTGTCGTGTCACGCATGGCGAATTAGTGGTACCGAACATGTGGATTAGCACATTTAGGGATTCGTTTTGCTATCAGAGATGGACACTTGACACAGATAAACCCAAACCTCATCAGCGACGAGTTACTGAAACCTTATTTATCAAGGGAAGCGGTGTCTTGTGGTATTCGCGGTGTCGCAATGATTTTTGTTTTTGTTGCGCAGGGTTTGGTACAATGTTGAATTCGGTCCATTCGAAGAGCGTCACGAAGAACATCATCAGAACGATGGAAATGAACGGCACTCTGGAGACTCGTCCTGCCAGGCTCAAATCAAAGGAAGTGAGGGAGGGGTCAGAGGAAGAGGCCCTGGAGGAGGAGGAGGAGGAGGAGGAAGAGGAAGAGGAAGAGGAAGAAGAAGTAGTGATAAGGGAGGTCAGAAAAGGTAACAAAACTATAAACACTGTCAAAATATTGTCAAAAAAACATTTCTTTGACACGGTTTTCTCTGTTGGGATTTTGTTTCAGACAAGAAATCAGCAGCTTTACAGCCGAAGAAGAGGGGTTCGGCCAGAAGACACAAAGCGCCACTGCTGAACGGTAAAGTGGCTAACGGGGTCACCCATCTGACTAATGGGAGTCAGGAGGGTTCGGTCGGTGAGGCTGTGCTCAATGGACACCACACAGGTAAGGCACACTTGAACTCCATGAGCGTTTAGTTCCATTCTGGTTAAAATCTTCCCTCAGTGAAAGCCCAGTTCTGTTTTGACTTCACAACACGTCCCTGAAATGTTTCAAAACGGTTACAGAGGACTCTGTACTCGCTGCCTGAGCTCGTGTATCAGCGCACCATGTGATCAGATAATCTGCTAAGCTCCACTCCAAGAGCTGTGGCAACTCGGCAGACAAAGAAATCTTCCCACTTTACACATCAGCTGCTCCTGGGACAGTTTTAATGGTCTAAATGAATGGCTCTGCTGAAATGGCACACAAAGCCCCCAAATGAAGTGAACGCTGCCTTCCTCCATGTCCCTCTGTTAATTGCAGTGCAGTTTGCTCCACATTTCAATGCAGAGTCTGAGCTTTTTTCTGTTCCCTTCTTTGTGCCCTTTGTGCCCTTTGTACTGATCTCAGATCCCAGTGTAGATGTGATTGGCCCCAGTCACCTGGCCAGCGACTCGGACAGCGAAGTCTACTGTGACTCTGTGGACCAGTTCGGCCAAGAAGAGGCAAGAAACCACTTAAAACCTCTTCTTTATACAGTGTCTGTAGCTCATAGTCCATCATTTATTCATTCCAATGTGCATCTTCTTCAGAGCTCAGAGCTTAACCGCTCTCTGGACGATCTGGATGAAGAGGAGAACCACGGCCTGCTTCCTCTAGAGGAGCCGCAGGCAGCACAGGAGCTCCGGGAGGACGGTCACGGTCCACCGCAAGTCATCAAGTGTGGAGGGGAAGATGGCGAGAACGGTGGAACAACGTCGCAGAGACTGAACGCAGCTGTGCCAGACAGCTCTTTGGTCAGAAGAGGGAGGGGTAAGGTTGTCCTCACAGGGCGTTTATACTCTAAGAACCGTGGTTTGACTGTTTGTGTCAGCCGTGTCAGTGTGTACACCAAATACTGTTTTTGGAAACGTTTATGCCTTCCGTCGTCTAAACAAAGTATCTCAGCCTTGAGCAAAACAAGTTTTTCTTCTCTTAGTTATTCAGTCTTGCAGGAAGTTATGTGACACCGGAAGACTTGTTGATCAGGTTGCTTTCAGTATCAAGTAGTTGTTAGCAGTTTACCAAAACTGCTCCAGTGAAGTAACCCTGTTTGCTTTTTGGCCTATACTGAAAAATACAACTGTAACCTTTTTAGATGATTCATTAATTTGTCTATCTTCTGAAAATCTGCAAGTATTTTCAGTAGTTTGTCAAGCAAACATGCTAAATCATCTCTTATTTTAGCTTCCTAAATGTGACACTTTACTGCTTTTATTTGTCATGTATGATAGTAGACTGAATATCTTTGGGTTTTTGACTGTCGTTGAGATAAAGCAAGAAATTTAAAGACACCACGTGGGAAATTATAATGGTCCATTTTTTACTATCTTCTTGCAGCCTTACTGTCAAATGTCCATTCTTAAAATGGCCACTGATGTTGTTTTCATGTAGGCATTGTGTGAACATATATCAATTATAAATCCTTTCTGTGTTTTTAGGCTCCAGGTCCCCAGGCCCGGGCTATGGATCTCTGGTGCCCACGTACAGCGGTGGAGACGGGGACGGGGGGCGCTGGGGAGGAGCAGTGACCCCTGGAGGGAGCCTGAACGAGCAGATCGTCGTGGCGTTGGCGAGACTGCAGGAGGACATGCAGAGCGTCCTGGAGAGGCTGCACACCCTGGAGGCTCTCACTGCGAGCCAGGTCAGACCAGTTTGTCCGCTCATTAATTACAACTGACTGAAACAAGAAAAACGTAATTGGCATTATAGTATGTGGCTGTGTTTGGAAGCTTTTAGTAGGAGGATTCACACTATCATCAACCGCTTTGAACCATTTGGGATTACTTTGTCTGTTTTTAAATGGCAACTGAGGGCGGAGGGAAGTAGGAAGGGGGGTTCAGGTGAAGATCTATTTACAGTGTGTGGTTAATGTTTGTTTGGTTGAGAAAACAGCTTGGCTACACCCGATATAATGAGTCAACAATTGGCACATTTTATTTAACTGGCTGCATTTTAATACCCAGTACAATATTGTATTAAATGCATTCCACAGTTTTTTCACTTTTGCAGAGTTTTGAATGCTTCCATTTATAATATATAATAATAATATAATGGTGCAGAAGCAGTCGACTGGACACGCATGGATCATTTTGGTGTCAACATTTATCGTACTGAAAGGGCTCAATAAATTGCTAAATCTCTAAACAAAAAAGCCAAAAAAAGTTAATCATAAATATGCTTTGATGTTTTTATACATTTTTAAAAATCGGTGAATATTAGATTATTTTCTTTTTTATCAGTTTGACATGATCAGAAACGAACTTAACAGGGCGGTCAGACGGTACACATTAACACAGATCCAGAGTGTAGATGAGCCTTTGAAGAAGACGAGATAAGGGGGTTTGCACTTTGGACTGTTGGGGGTGTTTACTTTTTCCTCTGACATTTATTTTTATTTCTCACTCTCTGCAGACAAGATCAATGTCTCTGTCTCCAACTTATGCACCACTTCCAGTGAATAAGAGGACTCGGGTAAACGGTTTAAAAGACTTCACACTGTTTGGTTTAATTTAGAAAAAAAGCTGTTTGGGCAGTGATTTGCAATGACTTAAACACAATTAACCACTCAAATGAGCCACATATTGTAATTTATTTTATTTTTCATTTTCCTAGAAACCATCCTGGTGGCCTTTTGACATTTCTCCAACCAGTTTGGCCTTCGCTGTTATATGGCCATTTGTGGTACAGTGGCTTATTCGCCTATACCTGCAGAGGAGGAGAAGGTATCGTTACACAGCAAAATGTCAACTCATATACCATAATCTTCATGCAATACTCTATTTAACGCTTACGTTTCTCGTTCTTTTAATAGACGAATCAACTGAACCTGCTCTCCCCCAAACATCCATGGGCATAGACGATAAAGAAGAGTCCTCTAAATGTGTGGTTGGGTTGCTAATGGCTGTAACTCCCCCCTGCTTAGACCCACAGCCCAGTAATTTGCTTTTGCACTATGAAGAAGGCACGTAAAGTAATGAGTGAGAGGAAGAAACCTCTCATGTGTTGTACTGTGGATGTGGAATCAAATAGAAACATGAATGTAAGGGCTCACAGTCTGCAATTATACAACCTTTTCAAGATGATACCACTGTACTGGAATCTTTTTCTCTGTAAGAAACGGTTGATGTCAGCGCGTTCATAAACCAATCACAGTAGCTTCTCAATTATTTCCATAACTAAGGCTTTATAGCACAAAAAATGCTTAGTGTGGTTATACGTTTCCGAAATTCACTTTCATTAGTTGCCCAGGCAATGCTGCTATAATAAAAATGTTGTAATAACTGTAATAGTTTAGAGGGGGGATTGAATGTAATAATATATTCATATGTGAGATTCTTTTAAATTCCGAGAATAAGTTAATATTTATTGCTTTTAGCAACAGTTACAATGAAGGCATCGCAGGCCGGATTTCAGCTGTACAAGTGAGGTTTGTGTTTAAAGTGACCGCTAAATGTTGTGTACAGGTTAGACAAAGTTCCCATCATCACCTGTCCTACTGCATATCAGTCTGTGCTTTACGTCCAAGTGGTTTGACTCGGGTCACTTCACTGTTGTCCAAATAGAAGTGCCTCAACATCATAAGGTACATTCATACTGTGTACTATAGGTGGCATTATTATTTCTAACATTCACATATTGTAGCATCATTGTTCCAGTGCTGGACCAAATAATCATTAATCATACTACCTAGTGAGCCATGAGGTGGTCGGCTGTCTGATTATTAATGCATAACTCTGGTCACTGCCTGTGTTGTTTACGCGGTCACGTCTTTCTATATTGTATCATTTTAATGTGTGATGTAATAATGTTTGTATGAATATTGTGGACAGAATTTGTGACTGATGGTAATCATGAATTGTTTGCAAAGCAGTCAGCATCTATACAAATTGTATAAAATAGCTGTACAGTTCAGATTAATAATGCAGTATTTTAATTGCATTCCCATGAGTTACTAATATAGAATACTATATCGTATTTACAAAGGTTTGCATCTGCAATATCACTAATCTTTCCAGAGCCATTATGTTTTAATAAAAAAATGAAAAAAAGTTTACCTTTCTACTGAAATGTACTAAGGCTTCCTCACCCTCTCTGCCTGTGGATAGAGTGGTGTTTGCATGTGATAATCTAAGCCTCAAATAAAGTTTTCATAAAGCATTTTAATTTGTCCACATTATTTCAAATAGTTTGACATTTTGGGGAAATGTTTATTCCCTTGTTTTCTGAGAGTTAGATAAGAAGACTGATAACACTGTCCGTACGTTAAATATGTCCTACAGCTAGTAGTTAGAAAAAGAACCAAGAACATCATGTTACAAACAATTTTATTTGTATTTCACTTTTTTCTTAGAGTCAACAAGATAAAATTCCACAGGTAGCTTAGTGAACTTATCTAAAAAACTAGTAGTGTGAAAAATGGACAGGAAATGTCAATTACAACTGCAAATGACATAAAAACAGCAAAAAGACAGTCCTGTTAGTACAAACTCGTCTTAAAACAACAACACACAATGTTATTAACAAGATTTACATATAAAATAAATCATTCTTGAATATATTAGCATTTTCTTTAGCAGTATTGTACCCCTCAGAGAGAAATTCAGGGAGCCTGCCCACCCAGCAGGGAAACGTTACAATGATGAACAGTGCGGTAAAAAGGGAGTGTGTCGGCAGTAAGCGCCACATTTACATCAACTTACATACATATTTTGTGTTTAATCAATATAACACCATAATAACACAGAAATCAAAGCCTATTATAAAAGGTAAAGCAGTAGCAAAGAGCATTTTGCTAGTGGAAGAATCTGACTTAAGAGACGTATCGTAACTATATAATGTAAGTTTTAAAAGAAGTTTACTTTCCACAATACAACTAACTGAGCCGGCAACAGATTCAGCTATTCTGTCTCTTATGACCGGTGATTGCACATAGGTAAAAGGTTTTTTATAAAAAAATATTACAACCTTGAATCAGAATCAACATAATTACCGTGTATTCATCTGTATAACGGATCAGATTGAGTTTGTCAAAGGGAAGGCAAATGATTCATCCACATGCGCGACATTCTCGCTTCACCAGCAGCCAGTATTTGTTGACCGCTGATGTTTGTAACTCTATAGGCTGAAGCCGGACACAGTGATGTGCTGAGCGTTGTTCCTTGCATCGAAGTACGAGGTGTCGGTTTCGTCCTCTGGCTGAGGTATGAAAGGCATCGGCTGGTTCTGCAGGTTGTCCCAGTCTAAGCCCTCAAACAGCGGGTGGCCCTTGAGTTCTGGTGGATTGTTCAGACAAAGTAATCAGAGGACACTCCCTATTTAATCTTAACAAGTACATTTACTTACAATGGGTGTTGAAATTGAGGCATTTTATTATGAGAGTTCCCCGATTACAGCGGCAAAAAGTCCCTGAGTATCAGGTAAATCATGAAGAACTGGAAAGTGGACCTCACCCTTTAGACCAGCTCGTTTTGTCATGTCCATGGTCAGGAGGATTTCAATCGCATTTCTTGAGTTTACAGACAGTTCCTCCTCTTCCTCAGGCCAGGGAATATCTAAAGTTGTTGAGGTGGGAAAAGAAGCAACAAAATCCTTAGCACGATCAATTCATTTGTTCAACTAAAACTGTCAAAAAGGGTATATATCAACAAATCTCACCTCTGTTGAGAATATTCTGGAAGACCAGCTGAGGCGTCTCGTCATTGAAAGGTGGCACACCTGTGAGGAACTCGAAAAGACACACGCCTAAGGCCCACCAATCCACCATGCAGTCTGACGGGGGGGGCAGAGAAAAGTCACATTTCATACAGCTGCTGGCTACTTTTCCCTGCGGTTCCTGTTAGAGTGTGCACTACATCGAACTGCGGTGGCAGAAGCAGGGATTGAGTTAGAGTTAGGGAAGAGGGATTCAACCTCTGGGTATAAACTTCACATTCCTTCGTTCACACATGGAGCAATAATTTAATAACTGAAGAGAGTTGTCACACTTGAGCCGTGATATTTGTACCTAGCATTGTAGTTTAAATTTAATTAAAAGTCATTTTGCTTCTCAATAACTGCCAGTGTTCAAAATTACAATTATCACGACCCTCCTCGACAGCCGATGAACAAAATACTGCCACACAAGGTCATTCGTGCCACAGATCGAGTGTTCATGAATCAAAAATAGCGGCAATCATGCTTCACAAAAGGCATTGTGCAGCTGACAGGAAATATTGCCCTCAGTGTGTTTTAATGAATAACAGCATGTCAGATAAATAGGTTATTTGATGACATCTATCAGTTGCTAAACGTCAAAAATAATGAGCAGATAGCTGTCAGGATAACCTCAAATCTGCAGGTTTTAAGAGCAGAAACCCCCTTTTCCCACCATTCAAAACCACATCAACCTTCACAAATCTGATTCCCCAACTTTAACAATGTTAGTTTAATGTTAGGAGATGACCCCATTCTTTTTAGCCTTCGTAATCACACATTTAAAATACTATCCCCTTCCCTCTGATCAGGCCCACAGTTTATTCACCAATCCAGGGGGCAGAAACAGAACCAGTGGGGGTAGAAAAATGAGGGGGAAGAATCAGCTCATTTTCGCATATTAGCAGGCTGGGTGATCATGCAAGCTTGCTTGCTAAAACAGCAATATCATTATAAACTTACCACACTGACAACTTCCTGAAACTCAAAGAAAATTCCTGTCACAAGGACTACAGTGGCAACCGTCCAATGTCAGTACCATAAGAACTGTGTTGGGCCGTTGTCGAGTTTTGAATTTAGTTTTCCTACCATGTGGTTTTCTCAGAAGAAGCTCTGGAGCCAAATAGTCGGGAGTTCCTAGAATGGGTGCACCCTCAACAGGCAGCCCACCCCTTCTGACGCTCTTCGGGGTCCTGAAAGGGGTGTGAGAGGTCGACATGGGCTGAGGAGTCTGTGAGAGGGAAATAAGAGGAAATGTAAAAAAA